TTTTCTTCTATTCTCATGTCATCTCCATTGTATTTATTTGTTGTTCATTTATTCTGTCTATCATGCTTGACACTTCCACCAAATATGGCTATTCTTGACTATGCTTGCTTGTTTAAGAAGGAAGTTCTAAAATCCTGAATGAAGATCTCTAATTGTTAACTGCATTATGGGCTGATAGGGAGGACCAGCTTTTTTCACTGAGTAACTTCCAAATATAAACTTACCTAGCTCTGTTCCCCTATTTTTTTTTTCAGTTTTTCTAGAATAAAATCCAACTAACTTGAGTCTGAAATTGTACATCTTGTTGCCAGCACACTGAGATTGGAATGCACAGGAAGACTGGAAAATTTCAGCCAGAATGAACAACTTAATTTGTTCTATTTCCAGTCCAGTGTGTAACTCTTGTCATTCGTAGTGCCTTATATCCCATATGCCACTCTCACCAGAAGATATCTATGGAGCTCCTGGAGGCAGTACCTTGACTCAGGACAAGTGGCATACTTGACATATGTGAGAGAAAAGAATTTCTGCACATACCAGAGACAAAGACAGAGCTTTATATAGGAGAGCAGAGACATTTGAGGGAGAATGTGGGCTATCTAGAGAGTGAGAATTTGGGGAGGTAAGGCATGGAATATACATTCAAGGGGGAATACAGTCCAGCTCAAGAATGAGAGGTAACAATCCCTTGCTTTGGTGTTTATTGGTATCTGTAGAAGGGCAGCAGAAGGGGATACACTATAGGTTGTTACTATAGAATACAGTTACTTTTGTTGGCAAGGGTACAAGCTACGTTGCTCTTGTGTGGCTTGTCTCACATTCAAACAGCCTTGAGAGTTTTCCTGCATTCCAAAGGTTTGTGGGTACTTCTCTTTGAGACTCAGCATATTTTTGAATCCTCAAACTCCCACCCCATCACAACTGCTTTTCAATATCTGTAATGAATAACCTCCCATTATGGTTAACTGGCTCTGTTCACAGATTGGAGAAGAAATTTGAGTCTGTGACTGCTTTAGACTTTCAACCAATCCCCACATTAAATAAGTCAATTAGAATGGTTTTCCTCCATGCTCATTTATTAATTGATTACATAAAGATTTATTGAGTACTAATGACAAAGTCTTTCTGCATATTAATTATGTAAATTCCTTACCTGGTGATGATACAAGTTGCCCTATGTGTGGGCACTTGCATAGGAGATTGCCTCATCAATTCATTTTTTTTTTCTTGATGTTCTTTGGATTCCACACAATAAACATCTTTTACCACGTAATTCCTTTTTCTTTTCTTCCCATAGCTCAGATCTATTAAATAGAATTGCCACTATTTCCCAGAAAGCCATCCATTTAATTAGGAGAACATTAATTTGCCCCAATTCTTGCCAGAGGATAGAAGCAGTAGCCGAATTTTGGCACACCCATGCTATTACATAGCCAAAAGAGAAGGATGTGGAACAGGGCATGGGAGAACAATACAGGATGCAGAATCCTAGTTTACCTTTCAGAACCTCAAGAAAGTACTGGCAAAAAGATGGGCAGAGGAAAACCAGAAATGTAGAGGAAAACCGTGTTTTCTTTACCAAAAAACCTGTTTTCCAATACAGTTGATACTACCTAAGCAAATAACCTGATATCCAAGATTTGAATTCCTCAAAGATAAATTGGGGTAAAAAGAATAATATCTACTTCATAGATTTATAATCTGTAGTAAAGTAAATTTAGCAAAAAATCCAGCATTTGCTTGATATGCTCAATACATTATAATTCAGACAAGTCTTATTTGTCTTTACTCAATTTCTGGACAAAGGATGACTTTGATAAACTAACTTTAGTAGAGAAAAAGTATCTCCATGTTTCTTGAATTCTGGTGGAGTCCAAAGTGAAGAAATATAGATATTGGAACTGAAGTGAGTAGGGGAAAGAAACCCTGGCCTCTGATGGGACAAATTGGCTTAGTCTGCTCCTTAGGATTACTATTAGGCAATTTTAGTGATAATTTCTAATTCATGGAATAATTCTTCTTGGTCAGCATTAATAGTCTCATTTTAGAGGTACAGGAACTAATACACAGTGAGTTTCAATGTCCTGCCCAAATAATAAAACTAGAAAAAGGTAGGATTTGGACCCAGATCAATCTGCCTTTCGTGCCTGTACACGTGGCACCACAAATTTCCTTCACTGATATATTTATTGCTATGTATTTATTAATATTTATTTCTTCTTTCTAACCAATAAGACTCATAAAGGAAGAGACCAACTTTATCTGGTTTTGTGCACCATTATATCTCTAGTGCCAAGTTCAGTACTGAATTCATAGTACAGAATATGAATATTTGATAAATTTTAACTGAATGCATCAGTGATAGAAGTGACAAGATCCCTATCAATATGGCTAAAAGATGCCATTACCACACTGGAAGATGATTTGAAGAATACATATATTCACTAATTCCTAAGTTTTCCCTGTTTTAAAACACCCAATATTTGAAGCACAGTTAATGTGAAGGACAGAGCCCATGCAGAATGAAACAAAGCTCTATGATATTCATATATGGCTAAGCTTTCTAACTGCTATCATGAAGCTGAATATATGAGAGAAGCTCTATTTCCACCACCATTACCAGGCCCTACCCTCCAAAAGTGTAACTTATTAATGCACAATTGAACCCATGTTGGTTCATTTTATCCAAAGATATGTTTCTGATTTTTGTCTCATTTTTGTCATACTGAGCCTAACCTTACATTAGCAACCACAACAAGAATTACTCTTTTTTCTTAAAAGGTTTTTGACGTCTGCCTGTTTCCAGATACCAATGCTCTCCACCTTTTTCGACCTGTTATATTGGAAAAGATCTGATTCATTAAAAGGAAAGACTATAGAAGTATTAACATGGATTTACAATCTTCTTTAGTGACATTATTCTTGATTTAAGGCAAATCAAGGAAGGAAAATGAGTACTTGGCATAGCGTAGATAGATTGGTAGTAAAACTCTGTCTATATTTCATGCAAAGAGATGAATGCCTATTGGGGAAAATTTTTCTACATCAATGGACAATTTTCCATTTCTCCCTCACACAATTAATAGGGCAAAGATCCTTCTTCAGAGTCCATGTGGTTGATTTGGGGTAGAATATAATTTCCTTTCAATTTTCAGTTACTGCTGCATTACCCTTGGCATTTAGCAGTGCAACAAAGATGTATATGACCTTTTTGAGAGCTACTCAGCTACTGGGACCCCAAAATGTCAAGTACAACTCAGTTGCTCTCAGAAAATTTCCACTTGCAATTCACTTTTACTTGAAATTGATCACATACAATGCAACTGAAATGCAAAAATAAAAAATAAATAAAAGACCTTGTAGAAACTCTTGGGGAAATTAATCCATATCATTGTAAATGTGACAGAGTAGAATGATCTCTGTCCTCATTAGTAAAGAAACAGAGTCAAGTGGATTAAATTGGGCCTCAGATCAAGTGCTGTGTGTCATTCTCTCTGGCTAGGTGACCTTGTCCAAACTATTTAGCTTCAGGACATAGTATCTATATCACAGATGCTCTTTCAGAACAGAGTGTCATATTTATCATTCTGTCTGTAAGTCCCATGTTCCTGCCTTTCCCTGGGACTTGCTGCCTCTCTTCTTTCCATGAAAAGGTGCTGGTACACCTCTGCAAAGGTGAAATCAGCTCCTACTGTCCTTTGAAGGGAAGCAGTCTGTTTGTATGACACAAGTGTGTCAATTTGCTCTTTCTGACCTTCTCACTTCTCCTGGCTTCTTCATAGACTGAATGAAATCTGAGAAGGGTTTTCAGCCCATCAATTGGAGTGTTGGGATAGTAATGGTAAACTTTTCAGCCTCCTCTTCCAAGCATTCAATTCCTCGATATTATGGAAATAGGTAGGAGGC